TGACATTTTAAGATGGAACCCCAAATCTTAACATGCTACAAATACAGGGTTGTCTTTCCGTACAAATTTCATGTACCTGCAGATTTATTTATAATTATCTATCACCTTCGTTTATTTATTGGGCCCAGAGACTCTAAAAACTATGTGATCGATTAGGTCGAGGGTCCTTTTTGCGGTTCAATTAATAGTTTCCCTTCTTTGAGAAAAAGACTTATTTTATTTATTTCTTATTAATCTATTTTAGTTTTTGCTATTTTTTCTTCCTTTATTTCTTTTCTGATAGTTTTAAATTTGAACTCTAACCCGTATAGTGGTGTATATTGTTGGCATCAAATTTTGTACCTCCAACGTGGCTAATAAATTCCAAGAACTCTCTGTCCACGCAAGCCTAATTCATGCATACTTGGACAAACTGTTAGTCACACGTGGCTTCCTTCATGGTAGTGGAGTTGGCCGCGCGCACTGCAATTTTCAAGTTAATTGGAGAAATCAATACATAAGTGTGGGAAGGCTTTAGACTAGTGCCTCCAATGTAAAAAGGAGGGGGGTTGGCAATAAAAGAGCAAAGTTGTAAGTTAAGAGTTTAAACTTGCATTACCCTAAAAATGACATTAAGTTGTGAGCTTTTATAGTAGAAGATGAAGATTAAGAGTCGTTAGACGATGTGACACGTGGCCTCATCCCGACAGCTGGGAACTTCTTGTCATTGCCATCAATCAATCATGTGCATTAAATACTAATACGGTTTTATTATCCACAATGTCTAACGTACAACTTTGAACTTGACTTGTGTAGCTGGAAAGGGTAGCGACAGCAGTGGGTTGTCACATTAATCACATTTTATGGATTACCTAAAAAGATTTTGTATCGAGCTCCTGTAGCAGAACCCCCATGATGCAAGCCCAATTCTTACCACAAGGGTTGACACGATTCAATGGGTTCGGCCTTCGCACATCGGCTTGGCCTATTCACAGATTCGATCAAACTAATAGGGTGTGGGGCCATATGTTTGCTTGCCATGTAGGGTTTCTGGAGCCTTATATCGTGAGGCGTAACAAATATTGTACTTAAAGGTTTTTTCTTCTTCGCCTCACCTAACCGCCTTAAGAAGAATATGTGCAACTTGACATACTCCTTATCGTGTTGCTCTGCAAAGAGAAAAACACATTAGATGTTTGTTTAAAGCATAAGGTCAATGCAATGAATTTCAAAGCTACATACCCTTGGTGATTGACTGCAGCTGTATAAAAAGCAAATTACTAATACAACTTGCCAAAATACAACAATAAACACATAGCAAACAAAAACTCACTATACTCGTGGTATTGGGTCGACACGTTATTTTTGGGACTGCATCACTCTCTATTGTTTGCCAACGATCCCTCACCTAGAACCAAGCACCTTCCAGTTCTTTATTAAGGTCGGTGTGCCCAAAATGAAGGGCGAATGTGGACCCTGGGGGTTCATGTAGTACCACCCCTTACAATCCTTTCCCCGACTAGAGGCTCGGGGCTGGAGAATGCTCTGGAAAATGTGGAGAGGCATATTCTCGCTAAGAATAACCTCCTTCCAAGCACTGTAGGGCAAGGTTATAATCCCAAAGTATATACCTAAAGAAAGGGTATGGGGGCAATTTCATCCCAGTGCACATGATCGCCTCATTCACAGTATAACAGCGCCCATGGGAAAACAAGCTCGTTCATCAGGAGTTGGGATGAACATCTCTATGGTATCTAGAATCCTATAACACTTCCTAAATGTGTCTAGTTCGCTATTTTCCATACAGGTCTGCCACAGTGAAGCCCCCCACCTTACGCTATAATCTATGGGATCTTCTTGCATCATCCATACACTATGAGGGCCTTCCATTGCCTCAATTATCCTCTCAGTAGGGATCAATGGAGGCAAGCCAGTATCGATACAAATGACGACCATATCAACTTTGTTAGAAGACCCTCCTTTGGAACTCAAATTTGACGAAGAAGCCATTGGAAAGTTTATTTTTAAGTATAAGCAACAAGAAACATACAAGAGTTTGTAACTTACGCAACTCACAAGCACTCACAAAAAGGAAGATTGGTTATAAGTGACAGCTAGAAAAGTTGTAAAAATGGCTGGAAAATGGCAGATGATCTTTCAGGCGATTGGGGGAATTTTTGTAACGTGAAAAAATTAAAAAATGGCTAAGTTTCCCCTTTTATAAGCAACGAAAATGAAGCTCCACCATTGGATAAGCCTTAACGAAATCCTAGGCATACACCTGTACCCCCATCCAACACGTTAAAACCAAAAGGTGTGTTGAAATTTGAATCAACTGCTCAGATTATCCTATGCTAAGCATGCGTTTGAGGATGCATGACTCCTGCCAGTTGCAATAGACCATCATCATGGCACTATAAATGCGCATGCAATACTCGAATTGAAAACCCCTAAACTACTCCACTGTAGCGCTTTGGAAACAAACGATGTTTTCAAATCATTACAGCATGCGTCCAATCAACTTCAACCACGTCAATATGCTCGTCCTCTTAGTAGGGACCTCCTATTTGCTTCATTCAACTTTACTATAGGCTTCAACTACATCAACATGCTCGCCCCCTTAGCAGGGGCCTCGCCTTTGCTTCATTCAGCTTTACTGTATGCTTCACCTATTTCAACAGACTCTCCTTCTTAGCAGGGGTCTTTCAGCCTTACTATAGGCTTCAACTGCTTCAGTAGGCTCGCCCTCTTAGCATGAGCCTCGCTTTTGTTTCATTTAGCCTTACTGTAGGCTTGAATTACTTGAAGGGGCTCGCCCTCTTAGCAGGGGCATCACCTTTGCTTCATCCAATCTTACTGTAGGATTCAACTACTTCAATAGACTCATTCTCTTAGCAAAGGCATCGCCTTTGCTTCATTCAGCCTTACTACAGGCTTCAACAACATCAACGTCGAATTTTTTCCATCGCGCAATATCAAATCTCAACTTAAAAGTCCACGCATTATATGAATAATCATCCATGGACTTCAAGGACTATTGACGCTACCTCTTCTTTCGCAAAAGACGCACAAAAACAGAAGTCAACTTAAAAGTCCACACATTATATGACAATCATACATGGACTCTTGTTACGCCTCACAATATAAAGCTCCAAAAATCCTACATGGCAAGCAAACCAAGGCCTTACACCCTATGTCAAATTGCCACGAAGGTAGTTTGACTGAATCTGTGAACGGGTCGAGCCGATGTGTGAAGGTTGAACCCATTGAACCATGCCGACCCCTGTGGTAAGAACCGAGCTTGCATCGCAAGGGAACCACTAAAGAAGCAATCTATAGTATGTGATTCATGTGACAACCCAATGTTGTCGCCGCCGTCGCCCTTCCCAGCTACACAAGTAAAGTTCAAAGCCGCAAGTTAGGCATTATGGATAATAAAATAGTACTAGAATTTAATGCACATGATTGATTGATGACAATGACAAAAGGTTCCAATTGTTGGGATGAGGCCACATATCCCCTCCTCTAATGACTCTTAATTGTCATCTTTTATTATAAAAGCTCGCACTTAGTGTCATTTTCAGGATAATGCAAGTTTAAACTTTTAATTTACAACTTTGCTCTTTTATTATACACACCCCAAGGCAGATCCCCCCTTTTTTACATTGAAGGCTTGAGTCTAAAGCCTTCCCGCACTCATATTAATTTTTCTAACTGACTTGAGTGTCGGAGTGCATGCAGTCAACTCCACCACCACCGGAGGAAGCCACGTGTGACTACAGTTTGTGCGATTGTACAAAAATCAGGCTTGTGTGGACAGAGACGCCTTGAGATCTATTGACCACGTTGGAAGTACAAAATTTGATGTCACAAATATATCATCCACGACGGTAGCAAGTTAAGGCCTTTTTTTTTTTTGGAATATTCTTGAAGGGATTAGCTTTTAAAGCAAGCATCTTATCCCTAATGTTAACATAAGTCATCAAATATTCTCACAAGTGACACAAAATATCATCTATTGCCCTACCACAAAAGTTCCATCAAAGTAATATAGCATGTGCATAAATCTCTTTTTTGGATGTTTTATTCTCCATCCTCGCATCGTTCTCCCGTGCAAGTTTAGTATACAATATTAATTTAACACAAATGGACATTAGTCAAAATTTTAATTTTAATTACCTCATCTAATTATTTTCAAGTAACTCAAACTTAATTTTTATTCATACGTTTAATAGAACTCAAAACTTACTAGCCACTTATTATCATTCCACATATTATAAGCACTTCTAAAAAATGTTAAGCTTTGTCAATCATAAAATAAGTGAGTCTACATGTAAGTAAATATCATCTTCAAAAAAAAATTACACTGAATTTAAAATAGACATCAATTATTATCCTTTAATACCATGTCAATCATATCATATAAACTGTAGACCCATAGATTATAAATACCTAAAAAGAATTTAACTGTGTCAATCGTGAAATTAATAGAGTTCACAAGTATTTATTTATATCTTATCTTCCACAAGTTCCTTCACGTTTACACTAAATTATTAAACACCTTAGATCAAACCTATTTTATATTCACATATTTTGTAAAACGCACAATTATTATGCAGTGATCGACCAATCATTTCTACGGATTTATATTTTAAACTGATTATATTCATTACCGAAGTTGCGCTAAAAAAGATATCAAATAACAACATAAAGATATTCATTTAAATCTTGCTTACGAGTATCTTCTCCGACCACAAATAGGCTTTCTTTTCTACGTCGACCTCTTTCCGGCCTCCGCCCGCAATGAAAGCCGCATCAGCAATGATATAATCCCAAGATTCCCAACAGCATTTGCTTTTGAGCTCAATAAACATGTGACATAAAAACAGTTTAATTCAATAAACAGTCTCTTTCTTTCCCTCTTTCTCTCTCTATTTGTACGTGTATATATAACCCTCTCCTCTTAAACACTTGAACTCAACATTTTCTTCATTATTCACTGCAAAAAAGGCTCAAACATCATGTTTTTCACTCTTCTCCTTTGTGTCGCTTTAGGGTTTCTTCTGTTTTCATCATATCTTAAGTTCCGAAAGTTTACTTCAAATGTTGGCTGTCTCATATCCTTCTACAAGAATCGCCATCGTCTTTTAGACTGGTATACACAACTCTTGTCTGAATCTAAAACACAGACTATTGTAGTACAAAGATTTGGTGCACCAAGAACCATTGTTACAGCAAATCCAAACAATGTTGAGTGCATTTTGAAAACAAATTTTGAGAATTTCCCAAAAGGGAAGCCGTTTACCGATTTACTTGGGGATTTTCTTGGTGTTGGAATATTTAATGTTGATGGTGAAAAGTGGAGCCTCCAGCGCAAATTAGCAAGCCATGAATTCAGTGCGAAGTCTTTGAGAGAATTCGTCGTGAAAATTCTTGAAGATGAGGTCCAAAACAGGCTTCTGCCGTTGCTTGAAAATGCTGCAGAGAACAACACAATTTTGGACATGCAAGAGGTGTTGAGGAGGTTTGCATTTGATACTATTTGTGAAGTTTCATTAGGCACCAATCCTTCTTGTTTGGATCTTTCTCTCCCCGTGCCGCCACTCGCGGAGGCCTTCGACGATGCCTCCAAATTCTCTGCTATGCGCGGTGTGGCGCCGGTTTCTGCTGTGTGGAAATGCAAGAGAGCGCTGAATTTAGGCTCTGAGAAAAGGCTTAAAGAATCTGTCAATTTTATTCATAGCTCAGTGAATGAAATAATTCAATCCAAGAAAAGGAAACTCGAAAAGGGTGGAGGAAATGATCTTTTATCGAGGTTTTTGGGGGCCGGACTGGACGATGAAATGGTTAGAGACATGGTGATAAGTTTTTTGATGGCCGGAAGAGACACCACCTCCGCGGCCTTGACATGGCTGTTCTGGCTACTTTCCGGTCATCCTGATATCGAAAAACTGGTGGTGGATGAAACTTTTTCGAGCAATAATGGCGAAAAACCACTGAGTTTTGATGAATTAAAAGGGATGAAGTACATCAAAGCTTGTTTATGTGAATCCATGAGGCTATATCCACCAGTGGTGTGGGACTCCAAGCATGCTGCAAAAGATGACATTTTGCCAGACGGTACACCAGTTTATAAAGGCAATAGGGTGACCTATTTTCAATATGGCATGGGTCGAATGGAGGAGTTGTGGGGGAAGGACAGGTTCGAGTTCCGACCCGACCGATGGTTCGATGAACCTGGGGTCCTAAAATCGGTGAGCCCGTTCAAGTTTCCGGTATTTCAAGCCGGTCCAAGAGTGTGTCTTGGAAAAGAAATGGCTTTTATTCAAATGAAATATGTGGTGGCTTCCATTCTAAGACGGTTTGAGCTTGTGCCGGAAAATTCAGGCCGACCTATTTTTGTTCCCCTATTGACGGCCTATATGGCCGGTGGGTACAATGTTAGGGTCCGTCCGAGGAGGGGCTGTAATGAAGATATTCTTTAAGTAGATCGACTTATCAAAAAAATAATACAATTGATGTTCAATTGCCTGCTTTGATTGTTTGAGATTTCGGGGAAGTCGATGTTGTCTTAAATTTAGATTAGTTGGAGCCAAGTGTGTCAAAGAGATCGAAAATGTTATTAATATTTTATAGATAAAAATTTAAATATTTTATATTTTATTAAAAGGATTGAATTTGTTTGGCCCTAAGTCGTCCATTTGTGAAATTATTTTTCTCAATTTTAAAAAGTCAAAACAATTTCATACTTGGTCGTAATCTTCAATATTTGGTCCACAATTTACGGATCTCCAAATCCTATTTGAACGTCGCCGAAATTTTCATACATGAAAATGGTAACCATTGATTTGGCGTGGTACTAAGCACTCTTTGTAGGGCTACCCGAAAACCTAATTAAGCTAGTAATCTCCGTCCCGTTCGGAGCTGGCCGTTGGTATCGGGTTTGTAGGGACTTTTTGTCATCCCTACCTGTTTGGTACTGATTTTTTAATCTTTTTTTTTTGTCTAAATACATTTTTAATCATATTCTCTAATATAATAATCATACACATGAACTCGGTACTTTTCCTTATTTTGTAACCATGTATTCTTCAAAACATTAATTTCATAAAATCAATTCTCAAAAAATCAAGCTAAATAGCTGACTCATGAGTCCAAACAAATTTTTTTAATAATTTGTATTGTCTGGTAATCTCAGTATTGTTTGGTAATCTCAAAGTGTGGTTAGAGAATATATTTTGTGAAAAAAAATAAATGATTACCTGAAAAATATATGATTGAAAAGGGGAAGAAGTTTTGAATTCATGTACGAAATTATTTTATTAGATGAATGTGTAATTGGGAAAGTGGGGTAAAAAAAAGGCCTTAATATGGATGAAATTAGGAGTCTTGTGAAAAAGCACAACCCAACAAAACAGAGATGAAATTAGAGGCCTGCTACAAGTACAGGCCACTGTTTCACAGGTGGCTACCAGGTCAGACACATGAGGCGAGGGCCACAAATTTTATTTTTTTAATACATTGGGGTGGGGTCGGCGCTACAGTGAGGGGTCCTGTAAGACCCCTGTGAAAGAGTCCCGTACTTGGGGAATTACTCATGAAATTAAAAGTAGCTCATTTTCTTGACAATTTCAATTTTTTTTTAAATAAACATTAATACCTATTTTAGAACATGTGAATTAGACACAGCGAATTGAGGCATTTACCAATTGAATAAATGGCATTCTACAAATCAAACATTAACGTTAACCTTTTTTGAATCAATCTTGTGATTTTAGAATACATTTTCTATGAATGATCAAACAACTGAGAAAGACACAAAGTTACCAGTTAATTCAAGAATCAGAGTAAAGCAAATGGCATAAGATTACACTCGCCTTGTTTCAAGAAATAGCATAAACTGCATCTAATCACCAAAAAGAATAGGAGACAGGAGACCCCTCTCTCCTGCATAAAAACGTCCCATATCCATAATTACGATAATTTTCAAAGAAATGAATTAAATCAAGTACGAAATCACAAGTTCGAAATTGTTACATCCATCTATTGCAGATGGAGCACGATGACGAATCATGTAGCTACATCAATTTTAACGATGTGTAGTACCTTGAAAATGCAAACAGTGTTAAAGGAGAACAAACATCGAAGAAACTTCAGTAACCAGAAAAAATAGGATTTTGCACTTTGATAATAGAAATTAAAGATGCAGTGGCATAGTTCGAGATAGCAGCCATGTAACATTATGTCAATGCATCTGACATTGTAGCGTGATTCAAAAAAATAAGTTTCTCAGGATAAAAGTGAAAAACACGCGATACGATCCCAGCTTGCAAAAAGTTCATAGCATTCCAAACATATGTGCAATCGTTGCTAAAAGCAAAAAAGTTAATGACAAAAAATATCTCCAAACCAATGAAATGATCGGCTATGTAAGTCGAATGAGCTAAATGCAAGACATCCAAGGTACTTCACATTGATAAGAGCTCTCACAAGCAAAATGGTTCCCTAATTATTTACTTCCAGCAGCATCGCCACCAACAGAGGGCTTGCGATTTAGGTATCGGATAACAGCATCTTCAATCCTACACATTGTATAAAAAGTAGATGATACCGTCAGAAAATGCCACTTCATAAAGAAGAAAAAAAAGTTCGCTAAACATAAACTATTGCTAGGCATTTTATTAGCATGGGACAAGCCAACCTGAAAGGCCACATTTCCCATTAAGAATAAAATAAAAAAACGTTAATATCTTAACAAGCTGAAAAGAATTCAAAAGTGGAGCAACAGAGTTTCTATGAAATTTTTACGAGTATTGCTCGAGCAAACCAAAACTTAGACATTTCTTTAATCAGAAACTTAGCAACGGTCTGCATGAAAGACAAATCAAAGCTAGAGAAGCACCAAACCACCACCTAGCAATGCGAGAGACTCGTCATGACCAAAATAACAAAATCAAAGAGATTTAGCCCTGTTTGGTTTGATGTAAATTAAATTTTTAGTAAATTTTGATAAAAGTTGATGAAATATACGGTTGAAAGTTTGATAAAGTTGTGGGCCCTAAGAATGTGTCGTTAAAAATGAGTTTGGGAAAAAATGAATTTTAAGAAATGGAGGTCTAACAGAGGCGAAAGAAGTTGAAATCGCAAATAATAGTTGGAAGTTTAAGAAATTCCACAGCAAGATTTCTACTTGACACGTTTAATTCATCGAGACAACTCTGTCTTCGGAAAGAAAAGACAACCATGAAGTACTGCCAGAAGTAGCATAAAAGAGACAGGTCGCTAAAACACACATTAAAATCGTAAGGTGCAATCATGCATGTTACTATAGAAAGAACAATACAATAGCCTAAGACAACATGAAATGGATATACTGCAGACACGTAACTTGCAATTAGTGAACCACTGCTTTTCACACACACAAAAATGTCTTAATTGTCCATAGAATAGATAGAGAAAATTACCAAGGTTGATTATAGAATTCAGCTCGCCGCTCTTTCTCCACATCACGACTGGCATCTGCAGTAGTAAGCTTTAAATCCCTGGCCTGAGAAGCAATTAAGGAATTAATGAATTCCGCAGGCGACTGACTAAATCCAAGAAAGAAAGCTCGCCTCAATCGATGTTCATGGATTTTTTTCATGGCAGAAGAAATAGCTTCATCACAAGCATCAATCTCCTTGTTTCTCTCTAAGTTAGACAAGAACGTTGACATTTCCTTGTCTGGTAACAAAGGAACGTCAACAAGCACATCATAACAAGTATTTCCACCTGGACAACTCCCAGAAAGCTTAACCCTGTGCTCCAAATGTATTGGTCCAGGTGAAGTCAGATGCGGTGTTATCTTCTGTGTGACCATGGCAAATTTCAACTTATCTTCTCCAAAAACCTTCCTCAAAGGTGGATCACACATGAAAGACGCTGTGTCACCAGGTATTTGTAATTTTCTCATCTTCACATAGTACCAAAGCGCTGCCATAATTCTTGGGCGCGTCTCCAACTCAATTCCAAGGACTTCTTGCAAAGCAGGTGAAAGTTTAAATTTTTCAGGCATATAATTCATCTCTAGTCTTATAATTGCAGTGAACTCCTTATCACCTTTTCTCTTCACCTCAAACCCTTCATGAAGTACCGGTGATCGAGAACTCTCCCACAAAATAACATTTTTGTCTGGATAGAGACTCTGATCCAAATATATAGTAATTTTCTTGAAGAAAGATGAAAACTTCGGATATGAAGACCTCTGCACCATTCCACCTAAAGCAGGATCCTTCCCATCATCCAAAATCCTCCCAATTATCTTGAGCGACCAAGAAGGTGGCTCAGCATTTTCCTTCTCAGGAACCATCTGTGTCTGATTGGCAAAAGTGTTGAACACATATATCCTCAGGACCTTCTGAGCTTGCATGGGTTTTTTCAGGGATTCCACAATGTCACTCTTCTTTCTAGCAAGGGCAGAATCCACACGAGACTCAAATTCAAGCAACTGTGTATAAAGAGCAGACTCTGGCAAGATCGCTGCGACTTTATCCGGAACTTCTTTATCAGGAAGCTTCCGCTTCATTTTACGCACAGCAGGTGTTAGCTCCATAGTTTTCATTGGTGAAGCAGTGCCCTGACCAGAGGAACCACCAGAAGGCCGAGAAGGCGGCTTATGCAAGGGCCTCTTGCCACTGCCTGCTGCTCCAGACCCTGGGGTGGACATGGAGGGAGAAGAGATACCCAAATTACTGTTACCCTGGGATTGGTGTTGAAATTGAACCGCTCCTTGGGCTTGAGGTAACTGAACCTGCCCAAATGCCTGAGTATGGGGCTGAAAATGGCCCGGGAAGTGGAGCCCACCTTGAGGTCGTGCCTGAGATAGCAGGTGGGACGTTTGTTGTTGGTTATGGTTAATCGGTGTTTGCATCTGAATCGGCATTTGCATTTGCATTGCCCCTGGATTCGCAAAACCAATATTCCTCCTCATCGGATCATTATTGTTCATGTTATGGTGATTCATAGCACTTCAAATATTCTACAATAAAGTAAGAAAAACCACGAATTTCATTAAAAAGAAAAAAAAACCTAAATTACCCTAACAGTCTAAGACCCTGCATTTTTTTTTTCTTTTGCTTATAAATTAACAGCCTTTACAGCTTCATTCCCTAAAAAGCCTCTTATAAATTAACGTGCGCAAAACGTTTAGAGTTTTAATGCTCTAAATTCAGACATACGAATTTCTACACCCTAGAAGTGGGTAGAAAAATCAATAAAAAGATGATTAAACACGAAATTGAAACGACATATATAGATATAGATACAGATAATTGATCTTACATGAAGAAGCTGAAGAAACCCTTTGATTTCAGTGAATTTGAGCAACAGGGGAAAGGGTTTTAGTCAGTGTGAACTCTCCAATTTTTTGTTCAGTCGAGTTTCAAGGATGAAAGGGCGGCTTTATGCAAGATGTGAAAATTACGGAAATATCCTCAATTAATTATCCCTCTCACATTGAGGGTTTTATTTCTGATTCTCAAATCAATTCTTATTTTAAACCACACATTTTTCAATAAAATAATATTTTTCATTACATAAATAAATTTTTCTTTTTTTTCAACCACACATTTCTCATCATATCACTTTTCAAAATCAATTCTTCTCCCAAAAATCTCTACTAAACAAGCACTAAAAGTTAAAAGGTAAATTGCAATTTTTGCTCTAAACTCTTGATTTTGATATTTGAACCCCATATTTTATTATAAGAGCATTTTAAACCCATACGTTTGACAAGATTATGATTTTGCCTCTATACAAACTTCTTCCGACTTTTACGTCTTCCCATATTGAAGTTGAACAGATTAATAGTGTAATCTGAAAGTTAAAGTTGTTAGAAATAACTAATTGTATTAGTTTAAACTTTAGATCTTTGTTTACAATATGTTCTTTATGTGTTAACTAGGTTCATATTTCAGTCAATATTTTATAAAATTCACAATTTTCGTAAACAAGTAACGACTAGAGTCGAACTTGTATATTTTATCTTGTTCTAATAAAATTGAATAAAAAAAACTAGAGTATTTAGAATATGATGATAATGTATCCACTCTAATGATTGCAATCCCAAGTCCAAGTTCTTTTAAAATGATCTTTTTTTTACTGAATTGTATAATTCTTTTTTTCATTTGTTAATTTGAATTAACAAAAATAACAAATGGACTTCTGACGTAAATACTAGTTTATGACATATAGCATTTCGAACACGTAAATATTGGGTGAGTGTTTTTGTTTCACAAGAAAAGAGAATATGGAAGATGTTTTGTTTGCTGAATCCAAACATAGGAATGTGGACGACAATGTATATGTCGTGGAAGAGGAAACGTTAGAAAGAGACGGTTTGACTGTGCCCGACGTTGGTATGCAGTTCAATGATGAAAAAGAAGTGTATGATTTTTACGCAAGATATGCTTATGTCGTAGGTTTTCCAATTAGGACGAAGGATGATAATGGTGTTTTGAGGTAGGTCACATTGACAAGTAGTTGGGAGGGACGAAGAAACGGTAATACAAGCACTTCTTTGAAGCCGCAACCAACAATTCATATAAGTTATAAAGCTAGAATCTCAACATGTTTAGATATCAATGGTTACTGAAAAATTAATACAATCCACCACAACCATAAGACAAGTCATATTAAGTCCAGGTTGTATTGATGCAACCGGGAATTAAATGCACACGTGAAACGAAAACGGAAGCTTGAAGTGAATGATATGGCAGGAATACCATTGCACAAGAGTTTTAACTCCGCAGTTGTTGAAGCAGGTGGCTATGAGAATATGATTAGCGTGGAAAGGGATTGTCGAAACTATATTGAACAACTGAGACGACTAAGATTTGGTGAGGGTGATGCAGCAGCAATATAGTCTTACTTTTCTCGTATACAAGCACGGTGTTCAGGATTTTACTTTAGTATTGACTTGGATTAGGGCAGATAATCGGTGCAGACAAACATACAAGAAGTTTGGGGACGTTGTCACATTTGATACTACATACCTTACTAATAAGTACGACATGTCGTTCATCCCTTTTGTTGGTGTGAATCATCACGGACAATCAACGTTGTTCGGTTGTAGCTTGGTATCGAATGAGGACACATATACATTTGTGTGGTTGTTCCGGACATGGCTACAGTGCATGCGTGATCAAGCTCTACACGAAATAATCACTGATCAAGACAGAGTCATGCAAAATGCAATTCAGATAGTTTTTCCAAATACGAAGTATAGATGGTGTTTGTGGCACATTTTTAAAAAGTTATCAAAAATTTTGAATACCATGTGGATAAGTCTTCAAAATTTTCGGCTATACACGTATTAGTGTATAATTCACAGTCAGTCAAAGAATTTGAGGATGGTTGGAGAGTAATGATTGATACGTATGATTTGCACGATAACTACTGGTTGTCAGGATTGTACGAAAATAGAGGTCGTTGGTTACCATGTTTCTTGAAGACAACTTTCTGGATTGAGATGTCAACAACGTAAAGAAGTGAGAGTGTGAATGCTTTCTTTGATGGTTAAGTGCATTCGAAGACATCATTGAAACAGTTTGTCGAACAGTATGAACGGGCACTGTGGAATAAGGTTGAAAAAGAATTTCAGGCTGATTTCAAATCTTTCTCTCATATGGTACCATGTGCAACAACTTACGAAATGGAAAAACAATATTAGGCAGTGTACACCATTTCGAAGTTCAAGAAAGTTCAAGGTGAGTTTACGGGAAAGGTTTAGTGCGACCTCGTATATGCTTCAGATGGATATATGGGGACGACGTATGAGGTATGTAAGGACTTTTTATGTGCTGATCGACGAAAGAAAAACTATTTATTGTCTTATTCAATAGAGATAAATGTGAAATTATTTACAACGTCACTTGTTCGAGTTTCAAGGAATAATATGTAGGCATGCGATCGGGATATTGATACGTAATGATGTGACTGTAATGCCGGATCGGTACATACTAAGAAGATAGAGGAGAGACGTCAGCAGAGCACACACGAGGGTCATAGTTAACTATGATGGGTTGGTTAGTACACCGGACAATTGAGGTATGACGACATGTGTTCGCCAAAGTGGCAGACCTTGCAGCTGATGATGAAGAGCAGTATCGTGCTATTAAAGATTATATAGAACTTCAAACTAAAGAGCTTTGTTTGATAAAATTGAGTTCAAGTAGTAATACTATTAGGCAGTGTATTACATCTCAAGATACAGGGACGGGAGCATCAGGGATCCAACTCATCGAAGACAAAGGGGGCGCCCAAGACCAAAAGGAGAAAAGGCCCACGGGAGACGAGCGATAATAAAGCAAAGGTATATATATTCTTATGTCCTACTCTTGTATTCACTTCATTTTTATACACTAAGTCATATTCGTTATGGTGTCCATGCAGATACGATCTAATTAAACCAAAGGAAAGAGACCAACACCGAGGCATACTAGTATGGAAGATGGTGCACCCGACGTTCCGCCATCTCCTTAACAACAATATTTCATGCATATGCTGTTCTCAAATTTGCAACTACTATTGGTTAGTATATTAATTATACCATTTCCGTAAACACTTTTTGTTGTGTTGACGACAACAAATTTATGTAGAGCGACATGACGAGTCATGTGTTTACATCACAAGTGATGCCTTCTAGTTTGATCCCTCCTAGGATCGAAAATGTTATTTTCAATTTACAAGGTACGTAAATATTTAAATAACAATATTTGAATTTGAATACTCACTCTTCTCTTATTAATTTTTAATTTGCACATTAGTTCATGCGAACTAGTACAACTATCCACATTTATCACATCATGGTAGCACCATTTGTATTTAAGCGAACTGTGAAGGCATATTTTATCGATCAAGCTTACCTTGGCTGTACAATTTAGTTTAAAATTTTACTTTGAGAGGTTTCTTTTGTCATTTGTTGTGTAGTCTTGAGTACTATGCTTCTTTGTTCTAAATGACTTGAAATCAACCTTTCTACCTCTGTTAGTATTTCATTATTATTTTTTATTTCATTATTTGCATTGTGGTTGGATTCTACTTAATCAACAATTTAACGACACTTTCATAATTTATTTACATTTATCGTCATATATTTATATTGATGTCTTTCGAATAGAATTCAAGTTATTGCCTTTGATTCTACTAAAGTTTGACAAAATATAGCAGGTTTGTAATGTACAACTTAAATGGTCTAAAGTAGCACTTCACATTCTGTCAAATTTCTGAGTTTCAGTGCTTTGGACCAAATAGTCAAAGTTATTTTAGAAAGCCAACAAAAATATATTGGAATCATAAAAAACTATGAACAGCTTTTGTTCTATATTTATCCACCAATCAAAGCATTGATTTCATTGATGATATATGATCCAATGGAATTTTTCTGCACTTAATTTACCTTGGACAACATGTTTCGATGATCTCAAGAAGAATTTACAATTAAATGCATTCAATAACTCATGTTAAACTCCAAACTGCATACTAATTTAACAGGCATCCAATGTGCGCACGAGGTACATAAATCAAGACATTCGTGGATGACAAACTCAACCTACGTACTGCACTAAACTAATTCACCAAATTGAGAATCACAACTTCAAGGAAATTCACACAACTCCTTCTCCAAATTGTCATGCGTTGTATGCATGATTATGCGAAACACTTTGATAGCCAAACATTAACCACTAATCAAGGCGTCTCTGTCCCCTTTTTTTTCCCTTCATCGGGGTGATATTTCCCGGTGGACTGTCACATTCACATTTACAGAAATCAGGAATTCTTCTTTGTTATTTAACCGAACTTGAGTTTGGAACCTTTGCGACATATCAACTTCTTCGTGCTTCGTTGGTTTAGCCAAAGTAACATTATCGTTACTCGATTCACCGGTTGCTACTCCTTTGCACAAATCTCAAAACCCACACTTCTCACTGCAAAATTTGAAGAATTTGC